TATCCTCCAGTATCCTTGAAAAACTAAAATTTTCTTCGATTGATTTCTGTTTATTATCGCACAAAATTCAAATTTTTCGTGTGTGGAAAGTAAAAACATACACCGGACGATAGGTGGAGTAATCTCGGTTCAACTCCAAGCCGACAAGAGGTATCGTCATCTCATTTTCTAGCTACTATTTACTACGGCACCTTAATAAACATATCTACATAGTATTTGCGCAACACCCTGCAGCTACAAATTTATGTACATATATGCATAGCTTCCCAGTCAATCAAGCAATCATTTGATTTAACATTCAAGTGGTATCAATAAAATTAACGATGCGCTATTTGAACTCACAGCTGCACACTTAAGTATGTAGTACATATGTACTATGTAAATATTTATGTGCATAGGTAAATATGTAAATATGCACGAAAGGGAAAATACTGTAATTTCATTTATCTTGGAATTTATCTAAACATCTAAGCGATTTAGTGATTCGTCAAGCAACATACATGCATACATAAAGGGTATATCCAAAAAAAAAAAATGTTGTTGCTGAAGTAAAATTTTAAGCAGATTTTGCCAGTTTTTCGTTGCCCAAAGGCAAAATTCTAGCAAATCTGTCTATAGTACTCAACCGTGCTTAAGGTATTTGCGCTAAATTTTATGCCTAATAAAGCAATGCCATTATTTGCGTACGTACGTATATATTTACAAGAAGTATGTATATAACTTTTTCTTCATCTAATCGCGAATCGCGCACCTGGCGGGCGAACAAATATGCAATCAGTGAAATTTTCGCAAGTTTGCAAGATAACAAATCAAGACAAACGCGTAAATCTATGAAAGAAATCTTCTATTCAATTTTCGTGAAACACATGTGCAAACAACACGTACGCAAAAACGCACCGATGGCAAAGGAGGTATAAAAAAATGAAAATTTACTTTTGAGTATGCACTTAAATATTTATTTATGTACACTCCACTTCACTTGAATAGCACATTTTCTTTCCTCAAGCGCTTATGTAAGTATGTTAGTTTATTTCTCCACTTGTGAACTTGTATGGAGAAACTTTGTTTTAGGCTTATTTTGAAGAATGATTATGAAGAAAAATAATAAAAAATTAACAAATTACGTTTGTTATTTAGATTTTTAAGCGTTTTTTTGGAATGAAATTATTTACTCGAATTCGAAGATATTTACCAGGCTAGGCGCGCAGTGATCAATGTCCTTTTTCTTATGTCGCGCTGTAACTGCTTAAGCGATTTTTGTCTAGTTCAACAAAGCACGCCAGTCGTTTCTCTTCTGTGCCAACTATGCCAATTGGAAACGCCAGGTGAGGCCAAGTCCTTCTCCACTTGGTATTTCAAGCGAAGTGGTGGTCTCTTTCTTCCTCTGCTACCACCAGCCGGTTCCGAGTTGAATACTTTCAGCGCTGGAGCGTAGGTGTCCATTCGGACGACCTGGCAAAGCCAGCGCAGCTGCTGTATTTTATTTCACTGCATTATGTTCACGTCCTTTTAATGCTTATATAGCTCATCGTTCCCACGGATCCCAAATTCAGACAACGCGTCAAAAAGACAATTCCCTTTTGAGCTGTCGAAAGTGGCTTTGAAACTGACGAATCTTTTTTCGCAAGTCCTTTCCAAGATTTGGCGTATTGTGAATACCTGATCGATGGTGGATTTTCCCGACCTAAAGGCACACTGATCCACAGGGTCTTGGTTAAAGCTCTGGTCAAAGGAACTTCGCAAAAAATATAGGAAAAAAGTAGTTTCTTAACAGCGGTTGCCCTTCGGCAGGCAAGAGCAAANCCGGCATAAAACTGTAGATCCTCCCCTTTGTGTGACAACATCAAGACGCACGCCACAAATCTAACAAACACTAACATATGTGTAAGCGGCATTCTATTATTATTATTAAAGGCACACTTATTAGGCTCAATGCGTTCATCTGACCATATTCTGCATAAGCTCGCCGCCGTACTTGAAAAGCTGAGCTGGCAGGCGGTTATCTCCAGAAACTTTGTTCTTTTTCAAGCGCGCTGTTGCTATTCGTACCTCATCATAGTCAGGTGGTGGAGCATCGACTCCGTCATCATCGACTGGAGCTCCATGTTACCCGGAAAGAAATCGAAGTCGCCGATAATACTAGATTGTCTAGACCCCGGGTCCACCAGGAAACCAAAGTCGCTAAGTCTGACCGCCACACTTGCTGCAGCCCTTTTACCTGCAATGTTGACAAATGCTATCTTAAGCATAACGTTAAGACCTAGAGTGGCAGTAGTCCTAAGCGCTCCACTGATTCCTGAAGGGCACAGCTCGTTGTAATCGCTCCAGCCTGCTGACTTACGTAGACTCCTCCAAGATTTCATAAAACATAATGGGCTTGATTATGATTTCATAGAGCCAGAAAAGCCATATCTCTTACCTATTACCAGAGAAGGGGTAAGAGAAAACCACCCTGGGGCGTGCCCCTGTTTAGCCTGCGCTGGATGATGGCACTATTCCACTGCGCTGCAACAATTCTGTCACTGATTATGCGGTGTATTGTCCCAAGCTTAATCAGGGATCTGACTATCGCCCCCGGTAAGAGATTTTTTAAAAAGTAGTGTGCATACATACTATTTGCTTCCTATGATACTTTAACATGCCAAAGAAAAACTATTATCACGAAAAAGAAAAAAAGATTCGCTTTTTCATGTCGGGCAAGAAATATTCTCAAACATTCTGCGTGCGACGTATCAGTTGTGGGAGAATACCAAAATACCGGCGAGGAAAAATAAATTTCCGCCAGCATTTACCAGCGCAGGCAAATACTACAATAGTATTGTGGAAAATGCAATACAATATATGTATGTATGCACATATTTATGTGTGTACAAGTAAATACATATACAAGTGTCTTAAGACCAGTAGAATGGACGGCATATAATCTGAGTGCTCTTTTCTGCTTGGTTCCGACAAAAAAAACAAGACCAGTACTCAGAAAGAATATTGTAAACCAAGGTGTCGAAAATAAAATAGATATCTTCTGCCGCTAATGGATGCTGGTTGGATGCCAAAGTGAGACAAGACAATGTCAGCAGGCAATCGCAACAAGGTGAATATAAAACAAAGGAAAATTATGTGAAGATAAAACATATATATATAGGTACGTATACAAGAAAAACGACTAAGAGCCGGCTCCGTCTTATTGTTAGTGAAAAGCAGCGCCATTAAGCAGCCAAGCGATCAGGCAATCCGACACTTCGCGCTCTGTTACGGAAGCGGAAATGGCACATAAACGGATGCCAGTCGGGGTGAAGCCGTGCGTGACTGGGCTGCTTGCAAGAGCCACAACACTACCAGCGCTACCACAACACAACTATGCTCACGCCAGTGGTGGCAAGTGAGCGTAAAGTCATTGGCGAACGTGCAACATTGGAGAAATTTATTTATCGAAGCTATAAATTTGGCGCGCGCGTTTTGTTGGTTGTGATAAGCCAGCCACATGGAAATACGGCTGATTGGACGAAGGAAACCAGTTCACTGCCATTGAAGGTCAAACTAATTGGACTATTTTTATTGCTATGCTGAATGTATGTGAGTGTGAACATACATATGTATGTATACCTGGCATGTGCTAGTATGCCACCAGCATAAGCAGGCCAACCGCGAAAAAGTTTCCGCATACATTAACGCTATACATACATACTTAAATAAGTAAACGTATTTATCGGCGCGCTGATAGACAGATAGATATGCAGATAGATATAAATTGCAATCAAGTCGATTAAGCAAGCGTTAAATCGAATATCGATTAAGGCGCAAACTTGATGGCACCATTTTATCACATTTTTCGCTTCTGCTTCCTCCTGCGCTTCGCAGACAATACCACCACTGCAGAGTGCTAAATTAGCAGCGAAAATATTCATGACTAAACTTATGACCAAGGTGGTAAGGTGCAAAATTGATGTCAAGCAAAATAATTAGCAAAAAAAAAAACTTGATGATAAATTCTGAAATTTGGAGAAATTGAAGCATAATAAATTGCCAATCGTGGGTGCAGAAAATATACGAGTACATACATATATAAGTATGTATACAATAAATATTGGTTTTAGAAGGTAAAGTTAGAGTAGCTGGTACCGAGCAGGAAAAGCACGAATACCTTACTTATGCTGGCTTTTCTCAGTCATTTCGCAATACCATTGGCGAAGAGTATCCTAATTTCTTTCCTTTTCTTAGAAATTTAACCACAAAAGTGCCCTTAATAAAGCGCAGAAAATCGGGAACATTCGTTAAATTTAATTCGGCTAAACATTCTTAAAGTATTTGTTAAAGAAATGGCTGCGCGCCTGGCGGGATAATGGCAATACTTTCAATTTCTTCCTCGTCTCCGCAGCTGCGGCAAAAATATTTTGCTGGATATCCTAACTTAATGCCGCGGATTAGCAAGAAGCGGTAAAGCCGATTAAGAGCTTAGTATTGCTTTTGGTCGAATTTTGGGCAGAAGTGACCTGTAGTCAGACAAATGGGATCCGCGGCCTTCCTTCATGAAGCAAATTTCAAATTGGGTTTGCCGGAGGTAAGAGGCATGCCCCCCTTCTAGGCAGAATTCACCACGAATACGGATATACTTTTTCTTGCCTGCTCGTCGGCCTCGGCACTCAATTGGCTAATTTGGACGTTGATTGGCCATATTTAATTAAAATAATGTAAAAAAAATATAAAAAATGTAAAATTAATAGATGTAGATAAGTATAAATATTTATGTGTACTATAGTAGTATACGTATTTCTATATGTTTAGTCAACAATGAGTCTTCGTTTTGCATTGTAGAAAAATATGAAAACATTTTTATTTTGTTTTTACTTACTCACGGCGCGCTGCAATAGAAAAAGCATAGTCAGAGAAGATAACATGAGCCCTGATTAATGAAATCGCTGAAAAACAAAAACAAAATTGCTAATCATTAAATCATATAAATAGTGTAGCGGCTAAAATGTGCTGTTCAGTGTTTACATGGGTAGAGTAAGAGTAAGCGTCCTCAAACTTAATAACAAAGATTTGTTTTAACATTTTTTACATACTCCCAAATTTAAATACATATATTTATAAACATTTCAAATGGAGCGTTGGCATAATCGCATTGCTGTAGTCACTGGTGCCAGTTCGGGCATTGGCACAGCTGTCGTAAAAGATCTTGTGCGCGAGGGTGTTATTGTGGTCGCCTTGGCGCGTCGCATGGACAGATTGGAGGCGATACGCAACACTTTGCCCAAGGATCAACAATCACGGCTGCATGTACAAAAATGTGATGTGACAAAGGAAAATGATGTGAACAACACATTCGATTGGATTGAACAAACACTTGGCGGTGTAGATATTTTAGTTAATAACGCTGGCGTGCTAATACCAGGAGCCTTACTAACACAGAGTCTTAGCGAAATCAATCAGGTGCTGCAAACAAACATTGTGGGCGTGGTTCATTGTACACAACGCGCTTTTAAGTCAATGAAGTCGCGTAATTTCGATGGGCATGTGTTCCTCATAAACAGCCTAACTGGACATGGTGTGTTGAGTTGTCCACCGGATGAGGTGCCCAATTTCAGTATTTATGGACCAAGCAAATTTGCTATCACTTCGATTACGGAGGTTTTGCGGCAAGAGTTTCGTGGCTATAAAACTAAAATTAAAGTTACTGTAAGTACAAATATAAAATGAGATAGTTAATTGTGGAAATCTACGTTTAAATATTGAAATATTTAATATAATTTTTTTTTTTTACAGAGCGTAAGCCCAGGATTTGTGGATACTGAAATTGTACCAGACACATTCCAAAGCGATTGTATGTTGAACCCCGAAGACATTTCAGCTGGTATACTTTATGCCCTCGGTACACCGCCGCATGTGCAAGTGCATGAATTGACCATTAAGCCAGTTAGTGAAGCTTATTAGTCGATTTCGTGATTGTTTATTTGTTTTAAGTGAAAGAAAAAAAAAAAAAAAAAAAATAGTTACTTAAGAAAAATAATATGTGTTGTACCTGTTGTTTCGGTGATGACAATATAAAAACAAGTTCTAAGCTATGCTTGGCGCTACTGTTAAGAGCTAGTGAGCTTGATAGGATAAGGGTTTTTTTCGCTTACATAATTAAATATTTTAACCGCCCATCCAGAATTTAAAAGAGTAAATCCAAGGCTCTCTTAAAATTGTCTGCGCTTTCAATACTGTCAGCAAGACAATGGGGTATCGTGGGGCATATGGGATGCATTTACCGTAGCTCGATTATACCAATCGCTACTTCCGTGTTCGCGCATACTAAGCAATGGGGGAAACTCATGTGTAAGATGTGGTAACTTAGCCGTGGAGAGTCTGAGGTCTTATTGCTGCCGATTAGAACTTAGCACATTTCACAACAATGCGACCCTGCCATATGCGCCAACCACCGGAAGAACAACCTTCTTTTTAAGCATCGGAAATAAGGTATTTTTATAGTAGCGGCTTGTTAAGCTTGTCAGATAGTCTCTCAACCATTGTCTACAACCTTAACTAAAGGTAGGCTCAAGGAACGAGCTGTTTCGACCGGACACCAGAGGGAGAGGGCTGTTAGTTGACTTGCGTTGAGTTGGAATATGAAAAGGAGTTTGGTGTCATGTGGGGTAGCTTCAAGAGTCGGAAGTACATTAGATACATCAGGGTCTAGCCTGGGCAAATAGGAGCTTAATCTATTGAGATTTTCAGACTGCTATAGAGCCAGTCAGTCGGTTCTATATACCGGAATAACTCATTTCCACGCCAGCTAGTTCAGCGTATCGGAATTTCTCGAGCAAAGATTTTTGTTTCGGCGATCTAACTATGTTTGCATCGTTGAAGTTTTTTAATCGCCAAACCCCAGACCAAAAACTAATGTATACTGAGTATGCCAAGTACCCAACTTCGCTTACGTATACCACATGCTACGAGTGGAGTCAACTCAGGACCTAGTTAGACCCTAAGACACATACGAAGTAGACCATACGGTTTGAACTGTCATGTTGCTGAAGTAAGCAGAAGCAAGCAGAAGCTGCCTCCAGAAATCATAAATTAGAAATATAACTCCAGATCGCCTATTCCCCAACATTTATAAAGTCTTGTTGCGGGTATTGCGTGAATACCTAAATCCTACTGGCGACGAACTGAATGAACCTAATCGCACGTGAAATATAGGCCACGAAAAGAAGTTGGCCTGATGCCGCGATGATTGCTGCAATTTTGTATGAATTTAAGTTATACATTTTTCATACGACTGACATACGACATCTTCGCCCCCAACAACCGCGCCATCTGTTATTTTTCCGCCTCGAAGGAGAACTGAACGAGCTATATCCTGCCAGTAAATGAGAAATTGACCGTGAGATATATTCTATAAGTCTCTCGTCATGTCAGTCTTGATGTATTGCGCAGAAAGGTGGACGATAACATCATGTGATGAGACGGCCCTTGGAGTATTCGAAAGAAGAATTCTGCGGAAGGTTTATTAGCCTTAGCGCATTGGTGACGGCCATGTCATGAAATGGACAAAAATGGCTGAGGAAGAGAAAGGCCTCCTCTACGTTGGAAATAGCAGGCCTAGAGGCTATTGGCTTCAGTTGACATTTTGAATTGGCGTCAGTTTTCACAGAAGACTGGCGTGATTTTTTGAGCTCGGCTGAAATCCCTAAGGCGGTTTAGTGCCATTAAAGAAGAAGGAGAGGTACTAAATTCTATACTTGAGAGGTGCTGCTGTAGGTGGAAGGTCATGCTGTGAGCACGAAAATCAGAGAGCTCATCACAAACTGTTGGCGCACACAAATTGATGTTGAGGTATGACTCGGCTTATAAACAGAACTTTTTTTGCTGTGTTATCACCAGACCAGAAATGCTTTCAATCATTCTAATATTTTCAAGTTCAGCCACTGTTTTTAAAAGTATGTATGTATGTAGATTCTAAATAGACTTTTATTTGCACATCATTGGACGTAAGTGTTTATAAGCTCTTTTTAACTAGCAATCATGCTGATTACAATTAGACGGCATAGCATACAGATATTTGCCCAGCCGGAAAAATGAGGAGAGGAAGCTCTTTCCACAGCGCTGTCATTCGAAGGGAGATGGGAAGGTGTGCTTCCAAGGAAATGGAAGGCAAATAAATATCTGTCAATGGAAGGTGCGCTTCCAAAGCAGCTCAAGTTGGGTCTGTTGTACAGTAAAATTTGAACTGTACCATTATTTTTTCATGTACATTTTCTTCTTTTAAAGGAAGCCGAATCGGATGGCCTTGAAACTCTAGTCACTCCATGCAAAATATGTAAAAAAGAGCACGCCAGGCCTCTCGCTGCAAAAGTTTCAAAATAAGGGCTACGAGAGGACCGGCTTTTTCAAATTTTGCCGACTAGGTACATACAAACACTCTATCGGCGACGTATATTTCTGCAACATTTGACGGGCGGTGTCTATGATTGCAGTTCGAACAAGGCATTGAAAAAAATACATATCTATTTAAGTCAGGTTTCGATTATATGGCAATACTAATTTGACCCATATTTATGAATTTGAACAGACATATGTATGTACTACATACCCATGTATGTACTCTTCGAAAGGCAAACATCTCATCACCCGCTCGATTCGCAGCAAATGTACATACATACATACATACATTTGTATTTAGTACGCAGCTTAGCTATGTGTGCTATCAGTTTCCAGTTGAATCGACATCGTTTACACAGAATCACTCAAAATTTGCAAATATTGAAAGGAGCAGGCGAATGTACATACATACATTAGGGTGGTCCAAGAATGCATGTAAAAAATAAAGAAAAATTTTAATGCTCCCACCCTCTAGTATTTTGGCATCGAAAAAAATAATACCAGTTTTTTGTTTTTCTTTTTAAATCAAAAAATATATTTAGAAGTGGCTCAAAGCGCTCAAAGTTTTTCATGTATTTCACTGTGGAACACGAAAAAATACTATAGTGCACATTGCTGTTGGCCATACAAACAATGCCTCATACTCAGATTTACAAGACCAATTTGTGCTCTCGGGAAAAAAAGTTTTCATGATCCAAAAATCTCAGTAGGTATAGCGGCCAAATTCTTTGAAAAAAAATTTTCAAATTTATCGTTTTTGGCCTATATTTGTTGAAAATAGCATACAAAGCAAATATAGGCCATAAAACGATACATTTTCATTATTTGTTGAAAAAAAAATGGGCCTACAGTTACTCAGATTTTTGTATCATGAAATTTTTTTGTATCGAGAACACGAATTGATTTCGTAAAACTGAGTATGAGGCATTGTTCGTATGGCCAACAGCTATCAAACCTGACATATGCGCACTCTAGGGGCTTTTTTAAGTTCGTGTTTGTTTCACAGTGTTTTATATGGAGAACAATTTCGTGGAAATGGTATAGAATTCTTGAAAATCAATAGTTTTCGACCGGAAAACTTTTCTTCCCTTCAGGAGACTTCAAATAATCTAATAGCCAACTGTTTGTTTCACTATTTTTAATACATTCTAAGGACTTTTTATGGGCCCCTTCATTTTTTCCATTTCGATTTTTTAAGGGTTTTTGGGGGATCTATAAAAAGTACTAGTCTTAAAAATGGTTAACTTAACATCTGGGTATTTTTATTAGAAGCCTTCTGCAGAGAAACAGAGTTTTACGATAGAAAAATATTAATCTTCAAGAATTCTATACCATTTCTACAAAAAGGTTTTTTTCCAATATAGAACACTGTGCCTCAAAAACAAAAAACTTTCAAAACACACAAAGCAATCAATATACATTCTCATGAAACTATGGGCCAAATATAGTAAAACTGACTTTTTTAAAAGAACTTTGTAGCTACAAAGATATGATTAATTTTAAAAATTAAACTGAATATTATGTAGAGTTAAAAAAATATTAAAATTTTTTGGTTCACTAGGACTAATAAATATTGAAAATTCCCTTTTAATTCATTTACTTTATTAAGCTTATAAAGTTAGAACGACGAATGTATATTAGACCTTAGCATGTAATTAAAAAAAAAGTATTGCGAAATTTCAAGTATATTTAAGGATACAATTTTTAAAGAACATTCCAATACCTAATCGTCCTTATGCACCAAAAAATTTAATCCGTTTTAATTCTACAGACTTTTCTCTTTAAATTGATACCTAAATATCCGATTTGATCCACCTCTATATGTTTTTCGATAAAAAAAAAAAAAACAAAAAACAAGAGTATATATTTCTTCAGTATGGAACAATCCTGGGGCTTAGAGCATTACAATTCCGACTTAATTTTTTTTTTGTGAACCACGATAATGTACATACGTTTGGATATGCAGTAAAAATACTCAGAAACCGGCATCGAAAGGAGCAATGTGGCTCATTAAGCGTTCAAATAAAAAGTGCTTAACGCCTTTGAAGCCGTAGCTGATAGCCAAAGATGCACCAAGGATGCAGAAATTCAAACACAGGCAAATTTGCATTTACGCATACTTAAACACCAACTGAACACGTGTCGAATGTGATTATGAGCATTTTAAAGTGGTAATTGTGTGTTTGAGATATGTATAAATATGTACGGTGACCATCTAAACCTACGTAAAATAAAGCAAATATTTTTTCAAAATGATGTGGGAATACGTACATGCAACTTTTATGATCGTAATTTAGATCAAATATTTATCAGTTAATTATATTAATATTTTGTACAAGTTACCCTTATCGAAAGGCGCTGGAAAATGAGAAATCAAACCAAATCCTTATCAAGGACTTCGCCATCCTATGCTGCCAAAATACGTTCATCATAATTCATACCACACGACGAAGCCAGCGGGTCTTTTACAATGGGGCTGGAAACTCGGCGTGCAAATCGGAACAAACTGGCGAAGGTTTTCATTTTTATTTTTTTCCTATTCTCTGTTTAAAAATTGACCTCTGCAAAATCCAAAGCTTATTTAAAGGACAGCTCGGGACTAATAGCGTCCTTTAATTTGACAAAAATTTTAAAG